TTTAATAAAAAACAACATGCTCATATATATATATATATACATCGAGGACAGAGAGAGTGAGGGTGGATGTGCAGAGGCTCGTATACTGAAATGCAGGGCGTCAAAGTTAATGCTCCGCGAGCACCATCCCTGGAGAAATTAGGGAACAGAAGAATCATATAGGGGTTCGCGTGGACGAGGGAAAAAAAGAGTGTTTTTTTTTTTTGCATAGCAAAGATTTTTGTGCCAAAGATTATCATGAAATTGTGTATGGTATATCGTTGGTTTTTACGTCTGGTGAAAGTGATTTACAGGAATATTATGTGCGTCACGTAATAATTTGCCATCAGGTACAAGCTTGCAAGTAGTTACGAGTGAGCGATAGAGCGTGAATTGCGAAACGGCAATTAAAATTATTTCTCTTTCGTTTATTTCCCCGTTGATATGAAATAAAGGAGTTGGTACTATCTTGATGTGATTCCAGTGCATTTATTTTATCGTTCGAGCTAAGGGGGATACATTTTTCTAGCAAACGTTTCCATCGACAGCGAATGAATCACCTCGATCAATGCAATTGCAAGTGTACATACCGAGAATGATGGTAATGATAATGGACTGCACCGAGAAATTATTGTTAGAATATTATGGAATTCAGTGAGAGCTTTTTTATGAATGCTCGACTCGCTAGCTAATACCAATATACAATTTAGATCGGAGTGAGGATTTTTTTTTTCAAATAATCATCAATAATTACTTCAACATGTTGTCAGTTCTTGCAAGGACATGTATTGTCTATAAAAAGTTGCAGCCACCAGTTTCGCCTGTTTCGGTCAAACAAGTCCACATACACAATGGACAATTTTTTGTGCCAGTTAAAAAAAAAAGGAGGAGGGCCAAAAACGTAAAATCTGGCACAATGTATTTCACGACAAAAAAAAAGGCGGAAACGAATTCTATGAAGACAAAAAAAAAAGATCAGGGCGTGTACTTAGTCGTTGTCGTTAAACACAATAAGTTGTAAGCTGAGCGCTCTAGTGACACACTTAACGTTAGAGCTGTCGATCGTAACGCGTACGCAGATGGATGCGTGTAAACGCTTTTACCTTGAAAACGCGAGTTGGGCTGGTCCAAGGATAGATGTGCGATACCATTTTCTTTCTAAAAATAATGTATAAACTATTTGTTGACAATGCTTTCCCCCATATATACATCGGTCATTCGGTATATAACTGGATTTAGTCTGACCTGGTTTCTCCTTTTGACTGTTGGGCAAAAAGGCGTATCATGAAAGAGTAAGTATATATTATGGTCAAAATGATGGTTTCAACCTCGCGTTGGATGATTTCGGGTTGAATGTTTTTCAGGATCTTTACTTGAAGTGTAAGAAAAATAATAAAGCTTTTTTTGAAAAAAAATTGCAAAATCTGTCAAAACGACCCGTACAATCTCTACACGTGCACCAGCTACATATATAATAATACAATGTCGATGTTATTTCGACAGGACGCCGGCATATAATATATCCGACTGGTCGTGAGCTTGAACGCAACGGGGGAAGGAACTTGAACTAATATCCAATTAATTTCAAAGTTGGTAACCTTAACCGAGAGGGAGGAAGATCCAACCGAGCCGAAATGTCAAGGATCAAGCTCAAACTGTGTTTTTTAACCGGAGTCGGCGGTAAACATTGCCTCGGCGGCGGTGATTAGAGACGATTCGCATCAGGTGGTAGAGAGAAAACAAAATTAATTGCGCGCGTTGGCGCAACCGGAAGCGCTGAACTTGGAAGTTTCCTAATCGATGGCCCGTGAATTACCGTTCGAGGGCCTCCCTCCTCCTCCTCCTCCTTTGCTCAAACTTGTGTGCCACGTTTGTGTGTATGTACAGTTGTACACATTTTCGAATGTTATACACCAGCTGTACACTCGAGTCCGAAGGTGGAATTTTTCTTTATGATGTTGCGTTGAATTTTCAATATATTTTTTTGTTTACGGCTATTTTATTCCAGCATGAATTTCCTGGTACGTGAGTGAAACCATGGATAGTACAAAAATGTATGCGGAACTGTAGGCGTAAGTAAAGGTGCCAAGACATGTCAAAATCGTAGAGTTAAATAAGTTATGAGAAATTGCATAAAATTTTATAAAAAATTTGGGTTCTTACATGCGGACTCTAGGGTAACTTTTAAGCTACGACGGCTTGAGCAATTCAAGGAGTCGGTGTGTGAGGCTAGATCCAAACACAATAGGTGCTTCGTATCGAGACAAATGTCATCTATAACGTGTTGCAAAGGTATAATCATGACATGCAAAAGAAGTTGAATTGTGTATGCAATTCATCACTAAAAAATACACGCGCACAAACATACAAGTGCCATCATCTAAAATCGTATATTACTAAAGTTTGAATGTTACAATAACCAGCTTATGCAATGTGCCACAATGAAAATTAGAGTGACTATTCAAGTGATGAGTCCAAAAGTTTTAAAAACATGCCGCTTTGAGCTTTACATTCCATCGCATTTCGACTGTTGTAAAAACTTTGGCATAGCCAGACACGAATTCACTTTTGATGCTTTATACTCACACAACGCAGCGAGCACCATCGTTAAAGGCTTTACTCTGGCTGAATTTCTTGCCCCTCCATAAATCGCAAGGGTAAAAATAGAAGACTGAAACAGGAGCCAACTATCTTTTCTCTGCGTGAAAGAAAAAGGTAGGTACGTATGCATCGGGGCGCTGTATGAGCGATTTAATAAAAAACAACATGCTCATACAAGTTTGTTAGATATTTAAGTAATTGTTTCTGTGCTCCTCCATAGTAAATAATTACTTTGCAGTTAATCAACTATTGTATGGAAAGTAATTTAAGGAGCGAATTCTAGGCCTTGCGATTCATTACGAAATGATGGTAACTCTAGGTCCAAACTAACCAGCAACCCATCAATATATGTACTAGATCTTGCTTCGTTGTTCTCGGTAAAATGAGTACATGCACGATCCGCACTGTTTTAGTAGATCATAATGGACACACGAGCACAACTTTAAGTTTTGACTATAAGTTTTACTTCCCGATCAAAAAGTATGCGCGATACCGGTTTTTCTGTAGTTGACAGCCACATGGATGTACGCCTCACGAGTGAGCTGGATGAAATAAAAATGTTGAAACTATAAGTAATTATTTTCCTTTTGTTTTTTATAAAATTTGCTCAAAAAATCTTTACCATGATTTCATACTCTGTTCACAAATTGGGAAAAACGATTGCATGGTAAAAATCGTTTTGAGCCGTTACTACGGATCGTTATCAGCATAAATATTTCAATTACATTTTTCCAGATGGGGGTACACAATAGAAGTTAATGAAATTGAAAAAAAAAAAAAAAAAAAAATGTTAGCCAACGCAAACGAAAACGGTACCGTAACTCGCCTGCGCGAAT